CTACTACTACTACTACTACTACTACTACTACTACTACTACTACTACTACTACTACTACTACTACTATTCTACTACTACTACTACTACTACTACTACTACTACTACTACTACTACTACTACTACTACTACTACTACTACTACTACGACACTACTACTACTACTACTACTACTACTACTACTACCACTACTACCACCACTACTACTACTACTACTACTACTACTACTACTACTACTACTACTACTACTACTACTACTACTACTACTACAACTACTCCTCCTACTACTACTACTACTACTACTACTACTACTACTACTACTACTACTACTACTACTACTACTACTACTACGACTACTACGACTACTACGACTACTACGACTACTACGACTAGTGACTGCTACTACTACTATTCCTATACTGTACTACTACTACTACTACTACTACTACTACTACTACTACTACTACTACTACTACTACTACGACTACGACTACTACTACGACTACTACTACTATACTACTACTACTACTACTACTACTACTACTACTACTACTACTACTACTACTACTACTACTACTACTACTACGCTACTACTACTACTACTACTACTACTACCACTACTACTTCTACTACTACTACTACTACTACTACTACTACTACTACTACTACTACTACTACTACTACTACTACTACTACTACTACTACTACTACTACCTACTACTGCACCCGCCCCTCTTGTACCACATCACGGTGTAGTTCCGCTCGGAGGCCGCCGCTGCAGCGGGCTTCGCGTTCTTGACGGCGGGCGCCTCCTCGTCTTCCGCCTCGACCTCGTCGGGCTCGAGTTGCTCCTCCTGCCCCCGTCCTTTTCCCCCTCGGCGCTCGGGGCGCGCTCCTCCTCGTCCCAAGCCCCCTATGCAGGCTTCTTCGCGGCAGCGGCGGGTCTCTTGAGCGGCGCGCCCTTGCCCTTCGGCTTCCTCTTGGACCACGTCTCGTACATGGCATTCGGCACCTCCGTCTCCTTGTCGTCGCCGTGCACTTTGGCCGTGCACATGCCGTCGGGCCCTGGCGCCAATTTGTATTCCGCGGTCGTCGCTCCGCTCTGCCCTATCAGGAGCATGCGCTCGCAGTCGACGGTGAAGATCTCGAGCTTCTCGTTCTTCTTCTTCTTCTTCTCGTCGCCCGTCTCGGCGGGAAGGTTTTTCTTGGGGGCGGCCGCGCCGCCTGGCGAGGACGCGATGCTGATGGGGTCGCTGGCGTGCTGCTTCAAGGTCTTCTTGCTCAGCGGGATGCCCATCGGTGCCTTCGCGTTGTACGCCGTGTAGATTGACCTTGGGCTCATCGCGGACCCGCTGGCTAAGCCTGGGATGTTTGTAACCCGCGCGCGCGACGGGGATCTGCTCCTGCTGGGGGCCATCGCCTTCGTTTTCTTGGAGCCTGGCTGCAGCCTCCCAATGTCACCGGTCTGCTTCGCTGCGGGGTGCATTCTTGTTGCGTCGACGGCCCTTCTCCACTTGCCGAGGACGTTCGAGAGAGCAGCCGAAATCTGCCTCGCATACATGCTTGCGCCGTCCTGCGGCATACCGAGCCTATGAACGCCCGCATCTCGCAGTTGAGGCTCAGAGATCCGATGCGTGATTTGGATGCAACCGCCCAAGAAACCCATGTTGTTGGCGACCACGTCGTCCATGTCAGACGAGTAAACCTTCAAGGCTAGTGCTTCTTTCTGGCATGACTTCACCGAGTTCTCCATGCCCCCCACCGAAGCCGCATTCTTTACGCGCGCATCAGACATGTAGCGGCGCACAAACACAATGCGATATCGCATGCAGCAGCAATTAAGATTGGCTTGACCCAAAACGTCTCGGATCGTGCAAGCGCCTTCCTGCCCCTCCCCCTTCCTCTGTTCCCTCCTGCACAGGAGGGGCGACGGGCCCGAAGCGAGCGATGTTGCGAACGTTAAGCCACATGTGAGAAAACCTTGCATCCGCTAATTAAGGGAAGACTAACTCCTCTAATTAATTAAGGACCTACATTGCTAATTCGAAGAGATTGGACCCTCAAGGGAGGTGCCTGCTCGAACAGCCACGCGCCCCCCTGGCAGATCTGGGCCAAGTTGAACGCCGCCTTGACGTCGCGCTTCGCGATCAGCGCTGGCAGCTCCAGGCGGCGGGCCCGCCGCCGCATGACCTGCCGCGCCGCCTCGCGATGGCGCGGCCGCTTCGCCGGCGGGCGGCTCGCCTTCGCGCGCATCGCGTTCGCGTCGCGAAGCGACCCCCTGCGCTCAGCGTGCGATCGGGGCTTTGATTCGGGACTGGGCCCTGTGGGCTCTTCAATCCCCGGCGCGTCCGTCCGGGCCAGCAAGGCGCAGCCTTCCCGCGCGTCCTCCCAAACCTTTGGCACGCGCCTCCTCGCAGCGTTCGCCAGCGGAGACGCGGGGCGGGGCGCGCCGTCGGACTGGCCCCCCCGCGTCGAGCTCGACGCCCGCCGTGGCCCGGTGCCTGACGCAGGCGATGGGGCCTGCCGTCCACGGCGTTCCCCAGGCCCGCGTTGCGCACCCAGCCCAGGCAGTTGGGGCGCTCCCGCCCCCGCCCCTTCATGGCGAGCGCAGTCCACCGCGGC